GAAAGTAAAACATAAGATAATTTTTTAAAACTATTAACCTTATTCTTCATCAATTTTTGAATTAGGAAAAGGGAAGTCAAAACAAGATATGATAATGAAAACAAAAGAGGAGAAGAAGTTGAGATAGGGCTATAAAGACATAGACAATGCATAAGCTGATAGTTCAATATCTATCTCTCATCCATCTCTCTATGTAGAGAATTAAAAGGAAAATCTTCATCGTCTTGATGTGTGACAAATAAATAAAGAAACTATTGAGAGATTCAAAAGAAAAAAGCATGGGGTTAGAGGGGGAAATCTTCATATAATCATTAAGAACAGTATTAGATTCTTACCTATACTTTTTAACCCAGAAAACAGATGTAAATAGAGTAAAGAATTCTTGTGCATGTAAGATAAATCTGAATGTATAGTTAAGTTGAAAATTTTGACAGTAATGCATCATGAGCTGTTGGGTGTATAGTTGAGTTTTCAATGTTAGTTAAGTCAAAATTATTACAACAAAAATAGAAATCACTAAAAAATTTTATTGCATATAACAACATCATATCTCGGTCCTGTCTAAAAATTGGCTTCCCAAGCAGCATCCCTAAAATAAAAATAACCAAATTTTTATGCATAAAGAATTATTACAACAGGAAATTTCACAGATGCACAAACTTATTGATACCTCGTAATAAAAGAAAATGTGAAAATGAAAAATAAAGTGCATCTTGTTCATAGTAATTCTTAGAAAATAATCTAAAAGTGTTGCAAAAAAGAACATAATATGAACAAAAAGAACTCAAATGCTGCAGAAGAGAAGACATCCTAACCAATGTCACTAAATTAACAATAACTAAAGTCTCTTTTTAGCTAACCAAAACTAAAGTATTTTTGTGAATAAAGAATTATAGACATAGGATATTTAGCACGTACACAAATGTAATAATAGCACAAGAATTTTAGTAAGAATTAAATTTACGGTAAGGTATTTTAAGAGTATTTTTTTATAAAATTTGAGGTAAATCTATCAAGAAAAATTGGGGTTCAATGGAAACTCTGCTGGTAGCCTATCATAAGGTTCTTTGTTCAAATCCTTGTTGTGAAAGAAAAGGATTTTTTTTTTTTTTTGATTCAGCGTTGAGAAATTACTATATTTGATGGACACCAAAGTGTTGCAAATTTCACAACACAATTCTTGTGCATTTGGAGCCATGAATCTGAATATGTAGTTGAGGGGTCTAAAGTATAATTATCAAAGACAGTGAAGATGTAAATAAAAAAAAAAAGTTTGTGGAGTATTAATTGAATCAAAATGAAAAAAATACTCATGCATACCTTTCAAGGTATTAAAATTGTAATTATGTTTGAAGAAAAAAAGGGAGAAATGACTTTAAACTAAAAAAAA